CTCCATTGCGCATGTCTACATCGGCCCAGAAAGGAGCAATGAGCGTTTGAGGTAAAGGAAATTCTTGGGATGTGTATGCGCTATAAACTGGATAACGAAATGAAAGGAGACCATTGTTGTTTACCTATATAGGACAGTGAGAATGAAATGGTATGTATAGTGTCGGGGAGAGTAATTACCACTACTACTGCTAATATCTCTATTTTTTGCTTTTTAGTCTATACCAGATCTGTTTCTCTCATTTTTAATTACAATAACATCTCAAGGTGATCAGCTGTAGTGTTGCAAGCTGCCAGGCCTGCCTGGCTTATGATAGTCTCACGTAGCCAGACCCATGTTCCTAGCCCATATAGGCACGGAGGGTGGATCTGGCTAGGCGAGATTAGGCTTACTGTGCTTTTCACTTCACTTGGATCATTGCACGTTCCATAAATCCCTCCCATCCATATTATGTGCATGTATTATGAAGTTTATGGAGCACACAAATGTGATTCAAGAGGAGTGAAAAACACAGCCTGTATGAGACGAATTTCAATACAATTGTCTATATTAATTCCATATTATTATTGTTGTACTCACAAATACAATGCTAAAATTGCTGCCATAAAAGATAAAGCTACTTGATAGATTTATGGATGTAGACGTATCATCAGCCTCAGTAATCTGATCTCCTGAAAATCCACGTCCTGCAAAACTATAGAAACGTGATATGGGAACAGAAAGACCTGTGAATGATAATCAATTATATAACTCCATTTATAGCCTAAAATAAAAATACTGACAGTTCTGTAGTGAGAGCAAGAAACACAGCAACAGCAAATGAGTGAAATGACTCCAATCCATGATCAGTGCGCTATCATCGCCACCATAGATGGTGACAGGCCCCGAGTATTATCTGGATTATGTGGTTATAACATAGATCGATATGGTATATATGGATATGAAACCGGAAGTGATAGCAGATTGATGCCGGATATGACTCATAAAGCCTGATCAATACACACATGAATAAGCATAGCCCCACTACTGAGGAGTTTGAGTCTCTTTTTACTAAACTAAGGTACCTATAATAAGCAGATTATAGTTATTTTAACTTATAATTCTAGGTCAAAGGGATGCCTCTTTTATTTAAACTCAAAATTAAAGACTACAAAAGAACTCACGCATGATTTATAGTTATTATTCTGTGTTAAATCCATATAAATAGATGACTATCATTCATTAGTGATAATAATATGTTACAGCTGTGGGGAAGTGTCAGGCATGACAAAGAGTGATATACACTTGCACTAGGGCCCTATAATTATAAAAATAAAAGATGAATGTCATTATAACAAATGCTTATACTTTTCAATAGTGGACTGGTGCCTGTAAGGTCTATTTAATAGTACTCTTGTCTGTCAATAATGTATAGCATTTGCAGTACTCTTTAATAACAAGTATAGCTATGATATTCACAAGCTAACGTAGTATCTATTAGTGATGCACTGATACCGATACTAATATCGGTATCGGCCCATTTTTATCAAAATCGGTTGATATTGGTATAGGCAAAAAGAGTTACCGATATAAGAATTGTTGTAAAGTATAATAATTCTTAATAAAAATAATAATCACATCCACAAAATGACATGAAAAAAACAGTTTCAGTACAGAGAAAGCAGAGATGCTACTGTTTTTAAAGAAAGAACCTACCAATTTTTAACTATTAACATTAATGACACTAATCAATGATTGTTGTTAAAGGTAAGAATTGAATATTTTTATTCTCAAAAACATTTTCATGAAAGTATCAGTATCAGCCATGTTAATGCAATTTGCACAAAATAATCGGCTGGTTAATATCGGTTTTGAAAAATGTGTATCGGTGCATCACTAGTATCTATAGTTATAATAGCAATGTTGTCGAGGTGTGGTCATGTCTGACTAGCTAGTTAGTTGATTTGTAGACCAGTATAGACTATGGCATAAATATTAGAGTACACAATATCTATGACTGTGGACTAATGACCTACTAATCTTTATCAGTTTATCTCCTCAAGGGATTTATGAAAACCAGACTTATAATAATACAATTCAATTCACTCTTTCTTAGCATGCTAAATTTTACAATACTATCAAAGTATTTGAAAAAAATTTTATATTGATGGTACAGTGTGGCCCCTTTGCAAGGTTATTTTTAAATTGATTGCATGTCTGACTAGGTGTGAGCACTCTATCATGTGATATAGGTAAGTACTGGACAGGTGAATACTGGTCCCAATGCGTGGGTGTGAAAACCAGCATTAGCACTAGAAGCAACAATGGAATGGTTAAAGGAATGACACAACATAAAATAAATTTATCATTGCAGTTTTAAGAGGAAAATAAAATAGAGTTAATAAAATTAATTGTTATTGTCAGGTTATTCTTTTTTCTTTCTGTTTTTCTTGTCGGGGAGGGCAAGAGCCAAGAAAAGTAATAATGAGATTTTTCTTTTCAATTTATTAAAATAAATTTTGCAACTGAAAAGAAATCATAAAGTCCAGTTTTGTACCAAATTTTGAAGCAACTTTATAAATTCTTTAAATATTCTATTAACCAACTCAAACTTGCTACACAATATAAGAAGATGTGTAAGTATCAAAAAATTATAAAAATGAAAAAAAACAATTCTATTCACTATATTAAAAGACAAAATGGTAAGCAATTCGGAGGTGTGGCTCACAACTATGAATTAATTTTAAGCATATTTTTTAAACTTTGATATCATTGTCCAAACAAAAATTAATATCAGTGAAGTCCAGATAGCCAGCCAATGGCTCAATGAGTGCATTGATTGATGATACTAAATCACTGAACACTGGCCTATCATCAGGAGACTCAGACCAACATGAATTCATCAGTGAGTAACTGTGAAAAGGAAAAGCATTAACATTAATTTTAATTGCAACTGTATAGTCTAAGATTTTCCCATTAATTTCTGTAATGGTAATTTCATACATTTCATTTGAACATGCTTCATTATTTGGAGTGTGCAGTCTTCCACCAGTATTTAGTAACTCTACAATTCCCATTGGATCTAGACCAGGATAAGGTACTCTACCAAGACTGAACACTTCCCAACACAATACACCATAAGACCACTGTAAAAAATAGAATGCAACAATTTATATTGATAGGGCATATTATTTCTTGCAATTTTACTGACCACATCAGATTTCTCGGAGAACAGTCCATCATGAATACTCTCTAATGCCATCCATTTCAATGGTAGTTTAACAGGTGATGAGTTATTATCATCTTCCAGTTGTCTGAAGTAGTTTTGAGAATATATATCTTCTGATAGGCCAAAATCAGCTACTTTAATGA